TTCGCGCCCGGGTCGTTACTTAGGGCCGGGGTTAGTGGGTCAATGGTTTATGGGGTCACATTTTGAGGCGCCTGGGCTGCGGCTGGTTGGTTAATGCCCGGCCTGCTTTACCGGGCCCTAACCGAATTAGGTGGCATGCAATTTGTGGCCTGCTTTCGGCATACGAAAATAATCGTAATAATGAAAACTAAATGAATTTCACTTATGTTTCATGTCTGCGCGAAATTAAATGAGCAAAATGCTTGTAGCATGTCGCCTGGCCGGGGCCGGCGCTCATTTTGAATTTATTTATTTTCTATTTTCGTGGGCTGCCACTTTTCTGGGCCACGCGAGGTAATAGTTAGCCGATTTTTTTCTTTTTCTGGTTGACAAATGATGCTTTATTTGCTCGTTTCTCGGTGTTCCGTATAATTAAATGGAGTCAAGCCCATTTGGGTCACGTGTGCCAAAATATTCCGCAAATTCAAAGTCCTTTAATGTTGAAACCCCTGCAACAAGCCCTCCTTAGAAAAATGTCATCTAAACATGCAAGTTTATCTTTAAGCCTTACAAAATTTGTGCACAATTGTTGCACGTTATAGGGAGGATATAGTATTACTGAAAATATTATCATTCATGTAATGATATAGTAGAATAATATCAGCAGTTTTTGATCGTCCGATTTTTGTTATTAAAAGCCTTTTGTTTGTTTTAATATTCATAATTCGAATTCCCATCGCATCGTATGGAAAAGCCAAGAGATCAAAGCTCTTTGATGTGTTTTTTACCCCCAAAACTTCAAAGTGTCAAAAATGCTTTGGCATTTTTGGGCCACAGACAAACAAATCAATAAAATTCAATCGAACAATGGTTCTATAAAATAAAAACCTTAGACATGATGTTTCTTCAAGTCTCATTACGTACGTGTTTCGTTCGCAAACGAGAAATATTTTGTACGAAAAAAAGATTGAATGTAAAGTTTCTGTTTTATATGCACATGGACAGGGACTTGGGGCGTCAAGAAATCTAAAGAAAACATTTCAATAAATCAAGGCAGACAATGAGCCGAGTGCCCAGCACAATTTCTGACAGCTTATTGACACGCTGAGGCCATCGAAATTCAAAAGCTGAGAGTTTAGAGTGGAACGAAATTCCACGCGGGAGAAGACCGATTTCGAAGCCTCCAAATGGCACAAAGTTTGACATTTTGCAGCCACTATCAAAAGCTGGTTCCTGCCGAAAATCAAAGACAAAAATTAAATGAAAAAGAAGCACTTACTTTACATGAAGATATGTCGATTCAACCGTTTGGTTTTGCATATAAATCTCGCTTCGGGTCTGCCCAAAATTATTGCAAGTGTCAAAAGTCAACAACCAAATGTCACGTTTTGCTGTTTTGTCTTTATTTATTTTTGCTGCTCTTCAATGTTTGCATCGCTGTCGAAAAGAGAAGCACAAAGCGAATTCGCCGCCTCGGTGAGCAATTGACATTTATTAAAGACGAACCAAAAAATCTTCCAAAATTATAACCCCGACGGTCGTTCGTTTGTCAAAAAGCAAAGTGCACTCGATGATCAGTGCATCCACAGTTAGGAGGTGTACCGATTCAGATTGAAAAGATTTTCCCGCTGCAGTCAAAACAAGAGTCTGTGCCATAAATTGACAAATTATTCCCATAAATTTCCTGACGTTTTTATTGCTTCTTCGAGATTGTTAATTTTCGGAGACAAGCAACAAAATTTTGGCTTGCTGCAACTCAATTACTTTGAGTGGCCAATTTTCTTCGTCTTGATGGCTCCCGCCGACACTTGGCGAAGAAATTTCAAATTAATGGCTTAATATTACGCCTTAATGCATTGGGTCAGCGGACCAGCACCAAGGGTGAAATTATTTGAGCGAACTTTAAACGGATTTTGCAATTAATTGTAGTCTTTCCAGTTGGGGTTACCTTTCACCTCTTCTACCAACTTAATCCGCAATTGAATCACAAGTTTTGTGGAGCATTTAATAATAAATCAGTGCTCTGATATCAATCTGTCGTTTGGAGGTCTCTCAATTCGAACCTGGTATTCGATTTACTCATAGTAAAGCTCGATTGCTTCAATGCACTATGGGCCAGGCGGCCCGGATTTTGGCCAAAAGGGTCAAAAATGGTTTTAAGAAAATGAGAAAAAAAACAATTGCATTATAAAGAGGATAGATTAAGCTATCTTTCTTCAAAATTTTATTACTCTCTATTCAATGGGTACGAGATGGCAGCTAATCAAAGTGGATATTTGCGTTTAATTTTTTCATTTTATTGGCAAAAATAAAAATTTCCTGCCCCTATGCGGGCAGCTATAGTCACATCGAAATGCTTTTAATGTAACTAATACAACCCAAAATTAAAAAAAAAAATTGTTTTTTATATATTACACTTATTATTTTACAAACAAATTTAAAAAGAACACAGTTTTTAACCCATTTTTCACAAGTTGTGATTTCAAACTTAGGGTACCTCGACGTACCACCTCCGATCAAATTGAAAAAAATTTTAAAAATAACTTTGAATATTTCCCTTTTACGTATAAGCTGTCCCAAATTCGCACTCTGAGGTTTTTTATACAAAAATTAAATTTTTAAACTTATATTATTAAAAAAAGTCTTTATAATACTGCCTAAAGGCAGGCAAGAAATAATATATTGCAAGCATTGACAAGCAAAAGTACAATTTAAAAATTTGTGGCATACTTTTAGTGCCACATTTTACAAGCATCTATAAAAATGATTTTTTTGGTGAAAACTTAAAAAAATTATTGGTTTAAAAACTAATTTTTTTTTGTTTTTGTTGTAATAGAGACCATATTGGAAGTAAAAAACAAAAATTGCGGTAGATTGCTTCAAAGACGTTCATGTAATTGAGACTAGAAATTTGAACTTAAGGGGCTTAAAACTAAAAAACTACTGCATTTAATGCAACAAATATATTTTTTTCTAATAAATATTATCTAAATACTCATTTCTGTAAAGTGAGATCCAAATCGAATTGCTGGTTTTTTATTTTCTATGAAAACAAAAAAAAAGGAAATATTTTTCAACTTTGGTAGGGATTATCTTCATAAAAAAAAAATATTTTCTATTACTAATTTTTGAACACATAAAATTCAATGTTTTGAGAATGTGCATGCCAAATTTCACGTCTCTAGAAAATTTATTTTAGAAGTTACAGAGTTTTGGCCAAAATATGAACTTCCTGGCCCATAGTGCAATGCCAAATCAACCAAAACGGAGCTTGTCCAAAGACATCTTCGCAAACTTGAGTCAAAATACAGCATTGAGTCTGACATTTGAATTCAGTGTCATTAATAGAAATTGCAGACATCGGGTGGGTGTCATAGCAAAGACAAACGATCCCCGGTGATCTTGACGTTTCTCAGTTGAAATCAATGCGAAATCTCGAGACCAATGATAGAAAAACGATAAAGGCGGCGTCATAAAGTGTCGATAAATGGTCCGGTTGCCGGGGCGTGTAATTGTTGGAATTACTTACAATTGACGGCAGTCGCCTCAATTGATTTGTCATTTGAATCTGGGAACAAAAGCGGACTCGTGACCGTCAGCAGTGACACCTTTTCAATGGCCCAAGTGCGCTCATAATTGTCCAACCTTGCAAGAGCTTAGGTTCGAGGTGGGTTCAAAAAACTTTCGCTTATCAAGCTACACCCAGGCGCATAGTCTGAAACCCGGCCTGACTTTTGGTCTTTAAAGAGCTCTTCGCTTTCTTCGCGAATTGCGAAACCGAAATGGACGGAAAATGGCAACCAAAAATTGCATTTAATGACAGACAACCCGAATGACTGTATAAGCCTCGTCGGTAGGGATGGAAAACAAGTAGAGCTAACGACTTAACCAGCGGACAATGCCGAAATACCTCCTGATATATGTATGTATAGGAAGGCTCAGGAAAAGCCTCGACCTCAACGCCACACAGCAACTCCCAGCAACTGTCAGTTTGATGAAGAAACCGAATGCTGTAAATTATCATTTTATGACAGAAGAGTTTTTAAAGCCAATAAATTTAACTGAGCATGCCAGGCGAAGTCAGACAGGTAATAGGAAAACAGTATTCGGGTAAAATAGGAACTCTACAAGAAAGTACGGAAAGTTTTCAAGCCATGCACTGAAAAATATTTGCTTGGATATCTTGGAATTTGTATATTTTTCATACTATTGTTGGTTTGTATTATAATTTTAGATAAACCACAGTGCACTACCACCGTATAACTGCTTTCATTATGGCTCTATTCATAAGGAAACTTACCAAACAAACTCAACTTCCCGCTGCACTTATTCACCGATGAGGGTGACTTTAGTCCACTGAAAAAGGGTTAGGATTATTATGCATATTGAGTGCGAGTTCGAGTTTGGGTTTGGGTTTCCCCTTACACTCGTCCCAACTGTCAAATGCACAGCGAACCCAACACAACGAAAGAGAAAAAGGCTAATAATTGGCCATGACTTTGGTTTCCAAGTTTTTATGCCTGTCAGTTCAGCTGCAACATGAAGGAAAGGGGGGGAAAATGTGGAGTGGGCCAGGTTTCGGTCTTAACTGGGTTGGGTTCTTTTTTTTCGGGGGTCTTTACGACCCTTGCGGAGAAAATATGAATAAAGTTTTCGGGCCTTTTGATGAGGCCGCTTGTCGTCGCCCGCCTTGACAATGAAAACTGCTAACTGCTAACTGGTAGCGGCTAACTGAGGGTTCTTTCTACCGGCTTTTTGTGTTAGTTATAGTTATGGGTTGTGCTCCGACATGTCATTGATATTGAGGGGGGAAGAGAGAGTTTCTGTTTACCATTTAGCGTTTTATTTACGATGTGCACTTGGAATGCGCATTGGTCGCTATTTATTTCATATCATATCTGGTTGACTTCCATTTTGGTGACGTTAGTTACCAGAAAAAAGGGTTAAAAGTCAATGGTTTAAAGACTTTTCCATTTGTCGTATTTGTGCTCACGGATTTCCACCTCTTTACCTCTTTGCAGTTGGCCCCAACAACGAAAACAAATGCAAATGTGCGCCCCACAGACATATTACCCCGAAAGTTATCAATAATATTCGCCGGAAGAGGAGATACAACTCAACCAGTTAAGCACCGGGCTCAGGGTGACAACACATAGGCACCACCGGGCTTCACTTCTTTTTGGGGAAGCGTTCCTTCTTTTGGATAAAATCGACAACACAGCGAAGGCGATACACAATGTTGGATCGATGCGAAATGCCGGTAAGTCAATGTTAGATGATTATCAGGGGGAAGAATATTGTAAATTGTAACAGAACTAATAATATAAGTTTAAGGTCCTTGAAGAACTTTCAGCATCCCATTCGCTTACAGAATTTAGAAGTATATATTCTTAATAAAGGAATAATAGAGCTCAGAGTGTATTATGTTTTAAGCGATTGCTGCTGTTGAGATTTTAACTTGAAATTTACAAATAAACTAAGAAATCTGATTCATTTAAAAATATCCCTATAAATCATTGTTATATAAATTATTTGTTTTTCTTATCTATCTATAATTTTGTTGTAAATTATTAGTTTAGTCAGATGTTTCCATGGCTTTAAGGGATATATATATCTTTCCCAGAAATTAGACTTATTTGGCTTCACAAAGTTGGCCTTGTTTTCTATGTTTCATTACACATTCAGACCTATCTGTCAGTGAAAAACATATTGAATGTCCTGCTAGCAGCATTAAAAATAAAAAATATAGAATATAATATGTGCAAAAAAGGATTCAAAATGAAATTGAAAAGGATATCCAAGCGAATTGTGGATAAGAACCTTTGCCGGAAAGTATGCACCTTTCTGCGCATCAAATTCTGCCTCTACGAGTTGTTGCGGTCGAATATAGTTAGCTGCCCGAAAGTAGGCTACCCTCTGCAGATGAAAACTTGATGTCATTCTCATATGGGGTTCCTTCTTCTTTTGCAGATTCAACTGGACAACATGAAGCTGCGACGGGACGCTCGCCTGTCGGGCTCCCGACTGGACCTGCCACAGCTCTGCAACGGGTCACAGCGCCTGGATGCACAAAACAACCATGTGGCAGGGGGCGATGCCACCACAGCCACCGCAGCATCCAATGGCAATGGTATTAGCAACAGCAACGGAAATGGCAGCGGCAATGGCAACAACATCGGTTCGCCAGTGTCCTCATCGACCACCAACAGCAGCAACGGCGGCAATGAGCGCGGCTCCTCCACCAAGTCCAACAGCAGCAGCGGCAGTGGCAGCTCCGGCAACTCGGCCAGCAGCACTGGAAGCGCCGAGCCCAAGTGCAACACGCCCATGACGCCATCCGGTAAGGAGGAAGTTTTCTTCTACTATTTTCTATCCAAAGTAGGAATATCTGTCTTGTAGAAGTATTTTTGGGTTCTATAGAAATATATTCCAACAACATTCATCCACAGATTGCATGGCAGGAACAGCTAAATTCAGGCTGATTCTGGCCAGGCTTTGTGCGTTTGCTCTCTGCCTCGCTGCAGCCCAATGCCAATTAGTTGAGAACGCCCTTCAGGTATTTGGTAGCCATTCCTCTGCTCTCTAATTAATTTTATATAACATTCTGGTGGGAAAATAAATGGCATTGAGGTCAGGGTCAGTGGGTTTTTAGAGTGGCAGTTGCCGCATGGGTAATTTCTCGATTACCACCACACTTAGAAGCAACACTTTTATTTTGCTGAAAGAGAAGCGAACGCATGAAAAATTAAAATAATAATTAAAGCTGACTAATTTAGGAATTATCTGCTATTTGCATTACAGAGCTGGTGAAAAAGTTTCGCAACTACCTAACCGATCTGGAGTTCGAGGAGCTCAAGGTGTACAAGGAGGTCTATTATTTTGGCCAGCATGCCAGCAAGAATTACAACAAGCCCGCCCCCACAGCCAACACCACCAATTTGGGCTATGACGATGATAATGGCAACTACAAGATCGTAAGGATATTATTCTAAATCTCAAAATTTGGGTATTGTTTATAACTAAACTTTCTTGACATTGCAGATCGAACACGATCACATAGCCTTTCGCTACGAGATTCTGGAGGTAATTGGCAAGGGCAGCTTTGGTCAGGTGATCAGAGCCCTGGACCATAAGACCAACACCCATGTGGCCATTAAGATTATAAGGAATAAGAAGCGATTCCTCAACCAGGCCGTCGTCGAGCTCAACATACTCGATGAGCTGCGGGAGAAGGATGCAGATGGATCTCACAATGTCATACACATGCTCGACTACACCTATTTCCGAAAGCATTTGTGCATTACCTTTGAGCTCATGAGGTATGTATCCAACTGGGTCTCTTTCTCATCCTGCCACAGGATTAGATTCCTTCTGACGTCAATGCAGTCGCATTTAATTTGCGAGTCAACTTGACTGTTACCGGCTTCAATTAAAAGCGCGTATAACTCGCATTTCTATTAACATTCTGCCAATTATTTCCATCTAACTTTCGTTGCGTGTTTGGTGACCATAAAATTTCGTCTATTATTAATTTCCATGCTCCAAGTACCTAGCACGCATTGCGACAGACATATGAGCCTTTTCCACCGGTTAAGTTTTATTGTCCTGTGTGTGTATTAGAGAGTGGCTTCGGTTTTCGATTCCATAAGGCCATAAATCCTGGCTGCGTCATAAATGCTCTTGAGTGCGTTTCATAATTCTTTTACGATTGTTTGCAATTCATTTATTGATAGGTGTGGGGGCCAGAGAGCAACAGTATAGGATGGCCTCGCTTAAAGCTGCCTTTGAGTGTGCATTCCTCCATCTTTTCCTCCCTTCCGGGGTACAAACAATATAATTCTCTATTTAATTTCCGGGCTCGTGTGTGCTTTACATGCCGCAAAACGCAGACACAATCGAAATCAACAACCTCGGACCGCAAGCGCCGCTCGGCCATCAATTTCAATTTAAATGTTGAATGTTCTGTGTCCTCCCTGCAGGCGCTGTTGTGCTGGAGTGTGTATGCACCCGCATGTGTGTGCACACCCCGGGAAAACCTGTTGTTTTAGCCGGCACTTTGTGCAGAAATCTAATTGATTGGCAGGAGGCAAACAAAAAAATCAGGTGTTCTGGGTGTTGATTTTCCGCAAAAGGGGGGACTGCCGGTGGAGGCAGGCGAGTTGCCTGCATATGTCAAAGTTTAGACAGAAGGCAACGCAAATATGGTAAAAATAAATCCCGAGGAAAGTACGAAGGCGGCACGCGATGCAAAAGCAAAAGTTGTCAAAGTTTTTCCTTAGAAAAAACAAGCGCTGAAGGTCGGCGGTGGTCGTGTACTTGTTTCCTTTTGTGTAACTCCCCGGAAAATTTTTAGGCACCCATCGAGCCTGACATTTCCGTAAGCCGACGAATGACTAATTTGTCTTAATTGCAAGCCCAAAAAGCAGTTCAAAATTTCAGCCAGCTGACATTTTTGAGCACTGATTTGTGGTTTCAAAATTTCAAATGGGTTCGTTGCACGCCATCAAATCTGCAGATCGATGGAGGGGGACGTCTTGAATCCGGTTTTCCCCCCTCATTTCCAGACAGTCACACAAAAGCTAATTAATTATTTGCTCTGCGACTAATTAGCCGCAAAATTGTTCTTAGTTTTCTTTGTGGCTTGAAGTGCGCACTTGGAGCTCTTTTCTTCTGTGTTTTCCCCCAAAAGGAAGTTTTCCTGCAGCGGCTAAAGTTAGTGCCTGGAAGTGACCAGGGGCAAGACAAGGGAACCGCATTGACAACTCGGCAAGTTTTAAAGTTTGTTTTGAACGAGTAAACAAATTGTACCAAAAGTTTTACGTAATTAAATTTACGTGCACGCAATTTAATTTCTCTTGGCGAAGGTTTGAGGAAGATTGGAACCACCAGATAGGATTAGTCGGACCAAGATTATAGAAATTGTATTATTCACCAGGGGGATAGCGGTGTTCAAGGTTAGTAATTCTTGTTAAGATATAATTAGTTCCAATATAAATATTAAATGGGAAAAGCTAGAGAAGGAAGCTCCGTCACAAGCTGATTAGCTAATTAGCCAACTGACCTGCGGCCCCTCCTTTGAGGGGATCTGCAAATATGAAACCCAAAACCATGTCCCTAAAGTGACACACTTATTACACCTCCACATTCAAGGACTTCATTTTGCAAAAAGGACAGTGCCACCAGTAGCATGGGATGGGAGGGATCTAAATTGACGCCAAGTGACACATTTCGCACATACACAGCACACACATATTATTTTGGGATGATTTCCCACATTGGTCCCTGGCAGGTGGTATTTTCTGTCGGCCATTTCGGTCTTGTTCTGGCATTATGGGCCCCATAATTTACGGCGACAGCTATAAAATGAGAGCTGCCAAAGTGCCAAAGACAGCCAGCAGAACGCCACACTCTCGCCTCCATAACTATGCAGCATATTGTCCCGATGAGGCTCCTCCATTCTAGGCCAAGTCCTTCTGCCAGCCAGTGAGGGAGTGTGTGTGTGTCAAGCACATAAATTTCAGCTTAATGCTGCCCGGGAGGAAAACACGACCGACAGACCATGAACCCCGGTCCCTCGACTCCTTGGATTCTCCTTTCTTTGGACTCCAATGTCATCGTATGTGCCTCCCAGACATCAACGCCTGGTAGATATGCAATAAGTAAAGATTTAATTTCAATTTTTATGGCTCATCACGAGATCCCGACTGGTGATAATCGCCTGGGAATTAATTATATGAGTTTGAATAGATAAAAAGGAAATTGAATGCTATAAACATGGTTCTGGATACAAAGCAAATTTGTGCTTTTAATGATGCCAATCGATTATGGAAGTGATACTTTATTGCCTGTATTCAAACACTGATAATTATAAGGCAGGTTAGAGCTTAAAGATAAAGCTAGAATATTATCTATATTATTTCTATATTATTTGAATATTCCGATAATAGAGTATTTAAACATTATGGGTAGTAGATAATTTAGTAAAACCAACAGGATGCACACATATCCTCCTTTTTTTTGGAAATTATTATATACATAGGCGTTACAATCTCTTTATTTTAAATTAATTTGCTATATTGATCAGTAATTTGTTAAGCGAGTATAAATTAATACATTTATATGTACTCCTCAAGCTCTACTTTAATTATTTGAGAAAGTTATGGGACTGGCACTATAATCCACTTCAAGGCCCATCAATGTCAAACAGATGTGGCCGTACGACCGGCTGTCATCAGTCGTGTAATTGACTATTCCTGACATGAACGCCGACAACGTGGGAGTGACATAGACATCTGGCAGGATGTCCTTCTCCATGTGAGGACTGAAAGAAATGATTTTTAATTAAAATGCAACATGCGGTTGATACCCGGCGCTGCTTCAGTCTGCGTGAGCACTGGGCGTGGCATGCAAATGAGCAATTCCGAGTCCTGCAAGTTTGTTTTTTAAATTAATTTTTGCACTCGGAGCGTGTAAATTGCAATTAGGGGAGAGTAGAGCCAAAGGGGCGGCAAGGACGACTGTCCGTGCCCGCGGATTGAGTTACCAGGAGAATAGGCATTCCATGAGCCGGGGGAAAAGCGGTGTCAGCTGCTGTTGCTCTGTTGATGTTGATGTTGATGTTGATGTAGGTTATTATTATGCCGTGCCATGGCACAGTAATTACTGCTAATTGACATTTCCCGAGCACTAAGTTTGTTTGCCTGCACGCCCCGTCAGGACGTCAGAGTGGAAGATAGCAGCCAGTTAGCCTGGCCAAGGCCAAGTCATTTATCATCTGCTAAAAGGTATATCGCCTGGCAGAATACTTTTTGCATTTCTGTGATTATTTAGGCTAACGTCACACAGAGCCGCGGACTAATTAAAATGCCGCACAACGACTGCCTCGGTAGGATATTTGTTCGTCCTTGAGCCGATGAGCCTGGCCCGAAAGCCAAGGTCACTGGCGTCCCAGCCGGGGACAGCATCATTAATTCAAAAGGCGGCTTTCTGCCAGTGTTTCGGTTAAGCGGCTTAACTTTGAATATTTATGGATATTTAAGGGAAAATTAACCAGGCAAAGAGGGCCTGAAATAACTTGATTTATATTTTATGAACTTTCCCAATGGAATCAATATTCGGACTTCCATTTCGCCATGCAAATGCAGACAGGACAGCCAAAAGTCAGTTGTCAATCAACTACTTGGCATTTCCTTTTGCTTTTTCAACCAGCAAATTTATGCTAAAACTTTGAAAGCAACGACAAAGTTAGCTCTGCGACCAACACCCAAAAAAGGTGACACAATTTTCTACTCACAGAGAAGTTTGTTTTTCAGAGTTTGGCCAATTGGCAGCCTCAAGATATGCAATAAAACACAATTTTCACTTGGATGCACATAGTTTACGAAGCTCAAGCTCAAGGATTTTGAATTGTCAACGAACAAAAGGATGATAATAACATTGAAATCCATTCGATTCAGTCTGAGATAAGAGACGAAAATAGTGTCCTTCCCAGGGAAGACCTTCAGTCGGTCTCATCTATATGTATTTATTTGTTTACTTGGGGGCGTCAACCGTCATTGTTTATCCAAAACTTTTACTCTCGGCCGCATTTGGCATTCTTCTGCTCCATTTTCGGTGTGCTAAATGCAGGCATTAGTGGCTCGTTACAATTGCATGTTGCAGTTACTGTTGTTGCAACGGCGCGGCGCATTGGCAAATCAATCAAATTACGAGCCGGAATTTCGGCACGGAAGCGGAGACGGAAACGAAAACGGAATTCTGCCGGAATGCCGGAAAAAGGCGCGGAAATGCCGGGAAAGACGCTCCCAGGCTGTTTTCAAGTTCACGGCAGACCCTTCCGTGGACTTCTGCCTCTCTGTGTGGCATGTCATAATGCAGTTATAATATGCAGCAGACTGCCAAGCATACAGATGTAGGAGCCGGGCTCGCCGATTGAAATTATGACATTTTGATGATTTTCTTATTGGTTTGTTATAGACTCGTCTGTTTGCCAAAAGCACGGCTGCCTCCCATCTATTTTTGGGTGTCGTGGCCGTAAATAAAATCGATTCCAATGCCGCTCTTTCATCGCCTTTAAAGGCCAGCATTTTAAAGTCCGCAATTTTCGGTGCCATTGCAATGTAAAAGTTTTCAAATTAAAAGCCGCCGCGTGACCTTTGTGGCCGTCGTTCGTTGGGGCAGGCTGTTCCTCTTCTATCCACTCAGCGATTTGACAGTCATCCATGCCATTATGTGGCTTAAAAGGGGGAAAAGCTTGGCCTTGACACTCTGCGTTGGCTCAATCAACTTAGCGCGCATTTAGGCGCTCTTAGCAACTCGTGCACTGGGGTTTGACATAAATTTAAATTGGATTACGACACTAGAGAGCACTAGAAAATGGCTCAAAGCCTTACCAGGCGATTAACATGTGTTCAAATCGCTTTAAATATATATTTTCCAGGCTGTAACCACACATATCCTGGCTCCTTTTCATGTTAGGAGCAGTTATTACTTTTGGCAATCGAATATTGCTCGTCCCTTATGTAGGTCAAACATGTCAGAGCAGCTCTCATGAGCAGGCAATAAAGTTATTGATGGCAATATACTCGTAAAAGAAAAAATCCTGAGAGTCAACGGATATGAAGGCGAGTTCCATGAGCGGAAGAAAATCTCTGAAAAGATGGGAGTAATATCCTGACTCCTGGCCATCGCCCAAAAAAATAAAATAAGAAACCATCAATCATCGTCTTTCATACAGAGACATCCAGAATTGACAAAACTTTTTCGTCTCGATAAACTATAGAATGAGTATATATTTCAACCCCCAGACGGTTATCTTGAATGGTTGTCTCTTTTGTGGTTACATTGACATTGAGGAACAGGAAACTGTTTGTTATCAGTTAATTAATCGGTCGCAATCGCATAACTGCGAATGCAAAACATGGTACAGAAATGGCAATGTAAACAAAACAGCCATCAACGGGTTGACAAAAAGGAGTATTATGTCTACTAAGGAGGAAGAGAAGGACTTACAGTGTTGTGCAGTTGATGATAATCGTAAAGAGTTGTGGAAAATAAATAAAGAAGATGAGTAACGCTAAACTATGATTATTGTCAATTCAAATGTATGATCGTTATGCATTTTGTTAAATAGAGAACTTTAATATACCTGCAAAGTCTGATTGGTTCCACTGATATCTGATGAGTTTTAATAGAGAACAAAGCCGATCCAAAGATTAAAAAGGATATGTGTGTGTTTTGCCCTATTGTCGAATCTCGATTGGGTTTTAGTCAATTAAGCCGACTAGATCTCGAGCAGAAACTAAGTACAGCAAACATTATTTTCTACTTGGAATAATGTCTGCGTTTTAGACACTTGATACTTTCCATTTCCTTACTGTACAATAGGACATCTTTCACACAGTTTATAGAACAAAAATATTACTTTATTTCATACACAATGCTAAATTTGAAGTATTCATTAATGAACCTTCTTAGTTTGAATTTCTACAGCTCGATCTTTAAGAAAAAGAGTAAAGAGTACTGCCTTTGCCCCACTGTTTCCAGCATTTGGGGGCTGCTTTTTTGGCCTGACTTTGCCACCATTCCTGCTTCTGACTGACTGCTCATGACTGGTGGCATTGTCAATATTGCCGCCGACTTAGAACGTTATCGCACTGGGCGCCCAAATTTGAGCCCGACATGCAATGGGAATTAATTCAATGCATGTTACCCGTACTGCAACACGGACTTAAGGCGGCCGTTCCTAGTTTTGTTCTCCTGTCGCGAGTGTTTCCTTGTTTCGGTAAACAATTTCGGGGGGCTTCTGCGCTGACTCATGTTCGAGTCACACTTGAATGGGCCCTCACTACTAACGTCCCGTATGTCCTGCTTTTCGTCCTTGCAGCCTGAACCTGTACGAGCTGATAAAGAAGAACAACTACAACGGATTCAGCATGAGCCTCATAAGACGCTTCTGCAACTCGATTGTGAAGTGCCTGCGTCTGCTCTACAAGGAAAACATTATTCACTGTGATCTCAAGCCGGTAAGTATATAGTATAAATCGTTACAACCTTGCTCTAATCTATCCGTTTTGGAAACAGGAAAACATCTTGCTCAAACAGCGTGGCAGCAGCTCCATCAAAGTCATCGACTTTGGCAGCTCGTGCTACGTGGATCGTAAAGTCTACACGTACATCCAATCGAGGTTCTACCGCTCCCCGGAGGTGATTCTCGGCCTGCAGTACGGCACTGCCATCGACATGTGGAGCCTGGGTAAGTGTCCACTTTTAATTAAAAACATCCTACCGAGAGAGTCCCCAAGTGGACTGAAAAACGTGTACATATATGTAGTGCAATTTAAAAGGCTCGCCCTGCATTTGGCAGGCAAGTTTATTGCCCACTCACGTTGGCCCTATAAATATCTACCTGGCAATCGGGGGAAGGATTAAATATTAACCAGTTTTGTGGCATGCACTGCACGTGGCCGACTTTTGTGTTTGTAGGTTATATAAAGGGACATAGTATAGAAAAGCAGCAAACAAATCTCCGTTTCATTTTTTGTTTTTCAAAATTAATGGCAATTAATAAGAAAGCATTTAAGTGTTATTTTCCCCTGTAGGTTCTCAGCCACTTTAGCCGTACAATTGACCTGGCCCAAACACTGAAAAGCTCAGCAAAGTGTTAGAACACGCACTTGGCCAATTAGTAACAGCAACAGGCAAAAGGCGGCGGAAAAGGACCTCCTCCTCCATCTGTCCGAACAATGAGATATCGATGAAGGGGCCGGAGGTGGAGGGCGGGCACTCAACAAGTGCCCCAGCCCTTCTCGAAGTTTATGTATATAATAATTTTGCCAAGCCCTGACCGGGCTTTCACTTCGTCCTGCCCTCAGTTGCCACTGAACACATCCTTTTAGCGGCCATTTCCGACCACAGCCACGTCCGGTCAGCGGAGGCAGTAGCGGGAAAGCACCGTGAGCAACTTGGGCTCCTTGGGCAACAAAGGACTCATTAAATGTGCGCACGGACGTGAGGTCAGCTGAGCACGGGGGCTCTGCCCGGGATCCTAATAAAAGACAGCCCAGTTTATTTTTATCCACTGTCTTGGCCTGCTTCATGTGTGTGGGCTCTCACTTATTTGAGTTACTGTGCACTGAGCACAGGCAATGGAAATGGGTTACGTGTTGAATGATGTGAGCTCTTAGCCAGTCCTCCTGCCACTGCCACATGTGGTACATACGTGTTAGTTTGATAGCTAGAAGCTTCATTAGGTAAATGAGGTCGCACTGAGGAAGGGTTAAGCTTCAAATACAGGTGGTGCAGCTAAAAGGGTTCTTGGTTTTAGTACCTGAAATTGATTGGGGAGGTTGAAAATCACTTTACAGCTGGGCAGCAATGCATCTCTTAAACCCTTTAAGATATCTATATTATTTGTATATAGAAAATAACTACCAAGCTTAGTCATGTTCTGAGGGGGAAAGCATTTGTCTGTCAATTACTGCAGCAACTGAAAAATTGAGATGAATGGCCAGAGGTCGAAGCTTAGTCAAAGGCATTGAGCCTGCAATCCTGCTGTGACATCCCTCTGGCCAAAGGCACTACGTCCAAGTCCGAGTCCGAGTCCATTAGAGAGTGCAGCAGGAAATAAATAAGCTCGAGCACAGCAGGCACGTGTCCGGCACAAAGTCAAGGTCAATGCGCTTGTACGACCGCCCGAAATTACTGCGGAAGATAGATAGTTACAGATACGAATACAGTTTGCAGATACATATAGTTTATAGAAATAGCCCCTGAACCCAGTTGAAAATCAATAACAATTTGTTGTCAACCTTTCTCTTCATTTTTTCAGGCTGCATCCTTGCCGAGCTGTACACGGGCTTCCCCCTCTTCCCCGGCGAGAACGAGGTGGAGCAGCTGGCCTGCATCATGGAGGTGCTGGGCCTGCCGCCCAAGGTGCTCATCTCGGTGGCCAGGCGGCGGCGCCTCTTCTTCGACTCCCGCGATGCCCCGCGCTGCATAACGAACACCAAGGGACGCAAGCGGACGCCGGGCAGCAAGTCGCTGGCCCAGATCCTGCACTGTCAGGACCGCTATTTCATTGACTTCCTGCAGCGCTGCCTGGAATGGGACCCCGCGGAACGGATGACGCCCGACGAGGCGGCCCACCACGATTTCCTGCAGCCCTTCTCCTCCAGTCGCCACCGCAGCTGCCGCATGTCCAGCAGCTCGTCCAGCTCGGGCCTGAACAGCGTCTCCCAGAAGTCCTCCTGCTACAGTTTCGCAGAGGTTTCGCCGGGCAGCAACGGTCCGGTGGTGGCCTCGATCACCAACACCACGGCGGTGCACAGCGCGGCCATGGCCACAACCGCCACCGCCAAGTCACGCCAGCAGCAGCCCCCGAGCCACGGCCACCATGGACACGCCCAGTCTAACGGACACCTGCCGGACATCAAGCTGAGTGCCAGCGACAAGTACAACAGCATGCAGAAGGTGGCGGTGCGCTCGAAGATCGCCTCCAGCGTGTCCGACCTGGAGTCGGTGCAGCAGTACTCGCTGCATCGCATCTACGGCGGCGTGGGCAGCGGCAGCACCCACCACGTCTCGTCGGCGGCCACCAGGAAGCACCTGACCGGCAGTGGCAATGTCGGTGGCGTCGGCGGGGTGTCCTCGAAGTATGGCAGTTCGACACTGGCGCACAACCAACACAATGTGACGCACCACAATGCATCGACGGCCACGATTGCCACGACTACACACCACCACCATCATCACGGAGTGAGTGGCCAGCAGCAGCAACAGTCTTCAGGCGGTGGCGCCACCATGGCCATGTCACACTCTCAGTCCACCGGGGATGTCTCCGACAGGGCCATCTTCGGGCGGGCTTGACTCCGGGCCAGGCCCACCAAGCTGGAGCTGAAGAAGTGCAAGCTGGTCAACATGATGGACTTCTGGAGCTAGAAGTGGCGTCCACAGCACTGCGCTGATGTTAGGGAGCGAGAGGACGAAAAGGAGGAGAAGAAAAAGAAGGACTAGAAGGCTAGAAGGCTACTCCTCGACCTCCTCTCGCCGATTTGTAGTTATTGTTATATAAGCTATATAGTAATTATATAGACGTGTGTGTTGTGTGTATTGTACTGAATGCGAGCGCATTGCTGTTGCATCCCCATTGCTCCTGGTGATCCATGGTGATCCCCACTTGAAGTAGTCGCGTCTGGCAACGGCGACTCCTTCTTTCCCCTGCAGCACTTTGCAGTATTCTCAGTTCCCCGAACCGCCCCCCACAATTTATTTCGCTACTGCCATAGCTAAAGGTATTTTGCAATCGTATTCAAACCCCGAACCCTGAACCCCCAAGCCCCACCCCGAAAAGTATTCTTCTCCCTCCAGTTACCAGTAGGGTGTCCTTCTGCACCTTGTCCTTGTATTCAAATGTGAACAACCAGCCTTCGAGAGTAGGGAAATCAAACATAAACAGAAGCCAGCTCAAAGGAACAAGAAACCCTAGATATAGTTATTAGATATGAAGGCATACACACTGAACATAGTTGTAGAGAACCTTTGTAACGCGACTCACCCAACGCATCCCACTCACCCTCAGAGACCCATCATATACATAGGCTAACGACTCAAATCTGTAACAATTTCATACAGCTTCCATGTCTTTTGCAACAGTATCACGGCTGTTATTAGTTACATATGTGAAGGCGAAATGTATCTACATCTTAATTGTAATTGTATTCGTAGTTTAAGCTATTGGAGATTCGATTGCCAACGTCAGACATCACACTGAAATATGCTAAGCCCCAGCGCCCACTCAACTTTTTAGTCTGCCAATGCAAGTGAAGTTCGTAAATATGTGAAGATAATGCAACTACATCAACCCCCGCCACACGGAATACATGTCATAATTTAATGAAATCACATATGTTTAGTGAACTATATAATTCTATTAGACCTAGAGAGAGCGATGCGAAGAAATAAACTACGGCCAATATCACAACCGAACAGAGTTAAAGCAACCCAATAACTGCAGCAATTGTAGTGCCCCACAACTATGTATGTATGTAATCCGTATTACTGGTGGCAAAACAGATAAATAGTGTTTTATTCAAATTAATGTTTGTGTATGGCAAAAGGCAACACAACAGACAAACTGTGTGTGTGTGTAGTAGGAACTTGAGCTCGGTGGGAACACCTCACCGAAGCTAGACTGTCATTTGAACGAAGTTTGTATAACCTGTAATCCTGTAAGTTTAGATAACAATGTACACAAATTGCAATTTTTGCTCATGATATTTATTACATAGGACTACCATACCTAAGCCTATACATAAATATACACATGGCTGCGATCCTTTGGAGCTTCTTTCGTATTATTTATAAATGTTTCTTCTGCCACTCTTCGTAATTATGTCTCGGATACTTTCATTATGTGTTTTATTACGAGCTTTGACAAAACAACAACAAATCCAATTGCAAATCTTGTTTTACAAAGTGTGTTCGAATTTAACGTTTAGTATTAACTTAAATACAATGAAACAAATAAAAAATGATAATTTTACCTATAATTACAAAATATACGTATATAATATATATATAAATTTTAAATTAATGATGCATATTAATTGTATAGATCAAGAAAACCACATGTAATCAATTACAATTAAAACAATTACAAAAAAAAACAAGAAATTATATACTCAACTAAACTAGTGTTTTCCATATTGGGTGGCCATCTAAGGGTTAAAATGGACGTTAAGTTGTTTGATGTAGTATACTTTCAGGAGGTGTCTTTGAAAAACGTAAGTAAGTTAATTACAATTGCGTCTTTATTTGGCCTGTAATTGAAACGAACTAGAAGTATCCATAAAAAGTACATCTTTTCGACAATATAATATCACCTTTCCAACCTATGATATTTTTTTTAGCTCAAATATGGTATTTTATTCCATCTATTTTAAATTGCCTCGTGGTTTTTCATTGAATAAATATTGTTTAAATATTTTATTGTTTTTATACGTACAACTTTAAATTTACTATTGCAAAGTGTTTGAACTTACTTGAGCTATTTATTTTTTTATTCACTGTTTTTATTATTCTTAATACTGTTATATAGAAAATATAAATAATTTTATTTGAATAAAAACGGCAATAAATCGTTTTTTCTAGGAGGAAAGTTACAAGGTCTTTGTATTTATTTTATTTTAATTATATACAAAATATAACGTGGCAGAAACAAATATATAATTAGCATTTTCATTCATTTTTAAAAATACGTAATTCGTATGTCATTATAATTTAATTGTAATTTTTAGAATGGTAGTTTTAATAGAAATGTAACTTAAAAGAGTTTCGAGTTTTGTTTACTAATTTTCTTTTTTTAAATTATGTACTACTTGATTAATCTAACTCGAAGTTTAATGGACGACCTACCCAGAGGCCTGAGTAAATAGTCCAAAATTTATTGTACAATATTATTGGGCCAGGCTTAACCTGTATTTACTTGGCACTAAAAGTTCTAGAACTTACCCCATAAAAACATGAATTATCATGTAGCAAGCTTAGATAACCCTATATGTAAAAAATACTATCCGTATATAATTTCTTATTATCTAGTTAAAAGTATATATATTGTAAAATTTTCATCTGCCTTATCCATGATCACGGACGGAAACGGTTATGGGTTACCAGAAATTATTGACTTAATATTTGGCATAATTTTGACAGCTCAGTATCTCTACGTCTTTCACAATGTTTGGTGTTGGGCATAAGCATAATGAGTCCACGTGACACCATTTGAGATTGCCGGGAGGGCTCCACGTTGGTTCATTTAGTTTTTGTTATTAATTCATCGGATGCTCGTCTCTGGCATTCGCATTGATTATGCAATTTCCGACAAGTCTTAAACGAAAAGAAAACAAAAATTGCCAATTTGATGTTGTGATCATATTTGTGTATTTTTTAGATTGGCATTTGGTGGCACTTAACTGTGGCCCTAACTAATAACTGTATCTGTTTAAGCCATTAGTGTAGGGTTGGTGGAATCCGAGTCGACGATTATCCTAAACTACTATTGGGGTTTGGACCGAAGACAGTTTTTGACAGCTTTGAATGCTTTGCGGTTCGTTTTCACCTCTGAGATACCCAAGTGCCTGCGTGGGGGTTAACGAGGCTGAGAGGCTGAAGATTTCGGGGAAAGTAAGGGCAGAATTCTAAGTGCACGCCTGCGTGAACCTGCCGTGTGACTTAATCCCGGCCCATTCTTGAATGGAAAGTAAAAGTTGCCACCTCACGATCCGCCGATCGATCGTTCACACCAGAAACCACAACCTCTTCTGATGCTGGGCCTGGAGTGATAAGCACCGGGCTGTAAGCGTCATTGAGCCAAAGGTTTATTGACGTACGGATGCCTCTTCTGCCGTCAGAGGTGATCATGATGATGATCACCGGGCTGGCCACTTGTTGTTGCCAGGTTGGGTTTCGGTTTCGGGTCCATGGCATCTCGCTCTCTGTCTCAAAGGCCGCTTCTGCCTCCAGTTTACCCCTCTTTGTTTCGCTTTTTCTATATACACAATATATATTTCTTTCTTTCCTTCTTTCGTCGCAAGGTGAAAGTCTTTCCCCTCGAGCGTTTTGTTGTTGCTATTTGTAAAGCATTTAATCTTTTTTCGGTGTTTCAGTTTTTGTTGACCGTCTGTCTGGAAATGGCTTTTGTTTTTTGTTGTTAATCTCGGACTGTCCATTGGTTACCCATTCATCAAGACCTTAAATACATGTTTCTGTGGCTCCGATCTTGAAATTCTAAGTTGTTAGCTCAAGTACATAAGTATGATTCATGAAACTCTACATTTTTCCATGAAAGGGGGAATGGTTGTAAAAATAAAATATGTTTCCCCTGCATTAAAATGAATTGCGACAAGTCGTAAATGTCTTTCTCAGAGGTCAGCCGAGTTGTTTGGGATAAAGTAAAGGCAAGGCAAGGCTTTATTAATAAAACACACCCTTGGTTGTTGTGGGTTTCGAAAGCTGCCATAATAAGAAATTAATCAATCGGAGTCATCTGTAATTGATCGAATACAAGACACCAACTGCCACTGTTTATTTCTTTACATTTTTGCTGGATTTGCCCTGTTTTTGACCCTGGACTCAAGTTATAATGGCGATCGATTAGGAAATCTGCGAAATTGGATATTAAAAACTCGTCTCTTTCGACGTGTGTGGGAAGTAATTACCGAGACACGGGTAGAGATCGAAATATTAAATCAAATCAATCATTTAAAACCGCATATTTAAAAATTGATTTGACAGGGTGCCGACTTCCTGTCAAGATCTTCTTTGGATTATGCAAACAATTCAATCAAACACCAAACAGGTGAAAATATTTTCTTCAGATTTCTGAAATGGGATTGCAAAGCGGATTTTCTCACAGTCCGGCGATTGTATGGCCGATCGACAAAGAAAGCCATCAAATAAAATGTAAGAGCACAAAAGACCTGCGGAGAGTTGGCTGCAGTCAATGACTCGGTATCATCATCGGTCATTATCACGGTCCGTGAATGGAACAAAGAAGCCCAACCTGATGATAAGCTCCCTGGCGCTTGCCACTTATGCAACAGCCACTTAAAGGGACCTCAGGTCTGTCCCTTAGAAGTAATTGGCCTTGGAATTACACTCTATTTTTGGGGCGTTCGTTCCGAAAGTGAAAAGTTATTTCTGAAAAACCGGCGATGAAGTGTCTATTTTTGGAGTTGATTGATGGATGAGTTGATTAGTAGCCACTGAATTGCATGGCAACTCGGAAATAATTGGTGGCAAAGCTGGAAGTGCAATTATTTGTTGATCGGTCTAGCTGGTTCTCTGATATAAAGGGCGTTTTTCTTTTGAATGACTGCTTATACAAGAGGAAATGAATTTCTGAATCAAATGTTTTATATCTGTGGCTAAGTTGGAAATCTTTGGAAAGTTGACGAGAGATAAAATCTTCAGAAATAAATGTTACTCATACATTCATTGATCTTAAATATATTTTAGTAAAATATTTCTAATATTTTGAATTCTTTTGAATTGAAAACTATTAAGAAAACTGCAGTAAAATGAACTCCTCATCACCTCTGAAGGTAAGTACTATTTAACAACATCTAACATATTTACAAAATTAAAGTTTGCGGCTTCCCACCGATCCCTGGAGTGCCCCAACTCGGTAATATCTGTGACTGATTCCCGCCGAGACTCCATTAAGTTATCAAATCGAGCATAATATGCTAATTCACTGCCAAACAACTGTGATGTAAGGTGTAAGGTGCTGCTCGGTAGATCGTCTTATGCGATCGCAGCGGGAATCGCCAGATTTCGGGCCGCATTACTCAACTGAGTCGATGCCCAGCATTAATCATGTTCAAATCATAAACTCATGAATTCGCTCATGAATGTGCGTTATTCATTCGTAAAAGTAGGATTAAATGCGGTACCATAAATTATATTTCTGAAGTGAAATTTACTGCAAGGAACAACTACTAAACTACTTAAAAAATTATCTATGCTCTCAAGTATAAAATTGTTCGCTTTTATTTATTGCACCAGCAACTTAGTAACAAAGATACAAAAATCAATCAAGATGCAGGAATGTCGTCCCAATTGTCCCATTTATAAATGTTGTCTTCCTTCACTGGCAAAGTAACACTTAGCTATCTGACCTATAAAGGTAGCTTTCAGATATACTTAATGTAAAACAAATCGATTTTCTTCTGTCCTCAAAGTATATACATATAAACACAAAAGAATAAAAAAACGCTATTCGTTGCACTGTTAAATTCAATATTTAAAACAATGCATTGATGTTTAGAATTGTGTTTAATCGGGTGTAAAGAATTTAAAATTTCGAAAATGTCAGAAACTTTATCGGTTATACGAAATCTTATATTCTTGTTCCGAGCCGGAAATCATTTGCCAGGGAGTCGGACCACCTACTTAACAGTCGCTATAGGTGTTAACTCTCACAAGTACACGAACACGAACCGGATTTTCATATCCGAAACTTTATCAGGCAAGGAAATTCTGGCAGGGAAGGTAGATACCAGACCTTCGTGAGATTTGAGCTAATAAACGAAAATATAACTATAAATTATAAATTATAACCTTGCAGGGTAATATTTTTAAGTCAGAAGTTAGCAACGCAGCGAAGGAGATATTTACATCTCAAAATATTTACATATATACATATATACATATGTATGTACATATATTCTTGATCAGCATCAACAGCCAAGTGGATCAAGTAATTTTTAGGCATTTAGGTTATACAAATTTTGTGAGTTTTAGTAGCAAATTCTACCATACTTATCTAGTTTAATCTAAGACATTCTTTGGTAGAATTTGACTTTACAATTTGTAAATTAATAAATAAGTAAACGATCGATTTAGGGTATATTCGCAAATCTAATAGTCAAGACAATTTACAGAGTTCTTCAGAAATTAAATTCTTCTTCTTATTATTATTCTTAGGTAAAATGATACATATTTATTTATTTTCTTACAAGCTATATCTTATATATATTGTAGAAATTTATTCTTTAATAATCGTATAATCTAACACTTCAATTTATTACAATTTAATTGTAATTAAATTAATCCATTTTCGATTTAGAAATATATGTGTATCTTCATTTCTTAAGAGATAATATGTATTATTTGCTTTGCATTGCTGTTCATGACAGTTTGATATTAAGTTAAGATTTTTAACCACTTCCACAGCTCAAATGAATTGATTTTTGTTAATTTTCTCGCAATTTCTGGCAATTACATGAATGCGGCGCTAAATGGTTAACGAGAAGAAGACTTGCATTGGCCTCAAATTCCCAGACGCCCCCAAGCCGGAGGCTTATCGCCACTTCCGAGATACTACGTGATTGGGCCAGAACGAGTTCGGGCCACTATCTGGGCGCTTTGGTGTCGGATTTGCCATTTCTGGGTTCGATAAGCGGGTGATTCATGCGAAGCAGATGCATCTTCATCTCTCCGCTGGCATTTCCTCATGTTGCCAGCAACACTTTCTCTTTCGCCGAGCGCGTCGCTCTCTTGGCTTTCTCTTTAAGCCATGCCGCTGGTGGGTTAGCTCGCTCTTCGGTTGGTGCTCCGCAACATGTTGCTGGCCGGCGGACGCTTGTTGCTGGCAACGCGACTGTTGCGGCTTTTTGGCATCTTCGTCGCGAGCTTGGCTTAAATGGTTACCAAACGTTTAATGATCTTCAGTTAGTCTACGAACTTTTACCAGTCAGGTCGTGTGCGCGGCTAGTTCCATTGGCCTGGCCACCTGAAAAGTCCCCAACGCGGCTCAAACGTTAACGGAATTTAAAGTCGAGGGAAAGAGAAGAAAACAGAAACTGCATCATTTGCATAAAGCAAATAGAAAACGTAACGAAAATACGACAAAAGTTGATTCGGATTGTGTGTTGTTTCATGTCGCATTTCTGACATTTTTTCGCGCTACCATTTCTGGGATTATTTCCCCAGAGACGTGTTTTATACTTACGGACAATAGTGCATCGACATTGAATTGAATTGACTGGAAAGCAATAATATTAATAATAACACTTGATTGAACAAACATTGTATCCGGAATTACCGAGTGAATCATGCGTGTTTCATTGGCAGTTTGGGGCACTTTGTGCCTGTGGGTGGTCGCAGCAAATGCTCAAGGATTTATTCCACCGCCCAATGTTGGGCCCCACAATGGGGTAAGTCCTTAAACTTAGTTGGGAAATAAACTAAGAACATGCCTCGATGTCCCACATTCCCAGGCACACACTAGCGCCACTTCAAATATGTGCCAAATAATCATTAGAAAAGTAAAATATTTATCACTCGATTTGCATTTCTATTGAATCATATGCAAATATCCATTGTTAAGTCTGCTCTTTATGGGCCCTCCGCTTGTCCCGACCAAATTGACACAGTTTTTAGATCTTTTCGAGTTTCGGCCGAGAAGAAAGTTGCCGTGCCTTGAGTAGTACTCGCATAAATAATATGTCAAACAGCATACATTTTTCGAACTTCCAATATGTTGGCCGAATCTCAAAAATTCCACAGCCTTGCATAAGACTTTCTACCAACAAGAAACCGATCTGATCGCAGTTCCCAAGCTGCTCATTTGTAAATTCAATTATTTAAATATTTGTTTTCGAATCTCAATATTAATTGTTGAAACATTTATGGCCGCAACTGAAAACGAAAACGATTTTCAACGCCTCAATGGACTTTCCCTTTTCACAAATATGTATATTTTTTTATCTCTCTCTCGGTGGAGTGTGGGGGATTCGATTAAATGAAGATGCAAAGGAAGAGTAAGAGCCGAGCCGTAAAGCCATGAGACATCGTTTAAGGCCAAAACCTGTTCGCTTGGAGTGGTCAGGAAACCGAATTCGAAAAGAAAACCAATCTTTCAGCACCGGATAAACCGCCAAGTCATGTGGGATCTTGAGAATTCTCGGGGGATTCTGTCCAGTTGATGTTAGATAATTGATGGCCCCAAAATAAGCCAGATCCATTGATTTTCCCGTGTTGATGTAACCCGATCATGTGGGGCATCCGATGTTACAGTTTTCACTTTCGTGGCTAAGCCCCACAAAAAGATTTGGCCAAAAACCACAACAATTTATGATGTGAAATCAACAGCTTTGTTGTCTCCCATTTTTTCAGCTGCTTAAACTTTGCTTTTGAAATGAACTAATGCCTATAATTGAGGCTTGGATTACGTAAAGAGATTTATTTCGATGTTGTTTAAGCTGCAGGCAATATTTTGATACGGGTTTTATGGCTGAATGGAGGGACAGATGAAAAGGCCCTGATCACCGTGGACTCTTGCAGAATGCCAGTGCAGGCAGTTGGCAAACAAAAGATGACAGCTCCGAGTCCCTTAAAGTACTTTCTTTTTCGATCCAAAAGCTATTCGTCGGTCGTCATCCTCGTCCGTGGCATTGTCCTTAACCTTTCTGCATCTTCGTGCATCTGTCGACTTGGCGATTTCCTTTTCGCGCAACTTGCACAATTTTTCCCATAACGTAAGAAAAACTTGTCCCGGACCACATTTCTGCCAACATCATCTCTCACCATTGACATAAGTTGGCTTCGGCCTGCGATTGCATTTTGGTAAAACAAGCAATCACGCGGAATGGAAAAAGTATCATCATCTTCCTTTTGTCTGGCAACAGCTTCGAACAGGAACTGGTTGTCTTAAGAGGTTTTTCGTTTGTAGGATTCGGCATCGATTCATTCGGTGGCGGCTGCGCAATTTCTTTTATGCGCCTGGGCTTTGTTTTTGCCATTGCCTAATTTTAACTTTTATTATTTTGTATATATTGCCTCACGTAGCGTTCGCAATTGTGTCTTGTCGTGTAAACTTGGCAGCCGGCAGCTCAGAAACATCTGGTGTCCATCCGTAGATCCCCAGCTCCCAGCTCCCAGCTCCCAGCTCCCAGTTCCCGGTTTTGCAGTTCCCAGTTCACTGCGCAGGCGCCACAGTTGCAGTTCCACTTACGAACAGAAATCCAGCAAATCCCCAATCCGACAGAAACAACAATTTGCAATCTTCGAACATGTTTTTTCCTGGGCCTGCCAAATTGCCGACTTGTTTTGTTTTGTATATTTATATTTAGCATTTACTTAACACATTTATGTTTGTTTTCCGTGCTCGGCTTTCACTTTCTTTGGAGGTTTAACAAGAATCTTGAACAAGAAATACCACTTCAGGAAGTCGAATGGTATAGCAAGTTAATTTTATTTTAAATTAAACTATAACAGAAATTTAGATTTAAATACATTATAAATAACATGATTCTCTGATCAACTGTTTCAGCTTCCACTTGGTCTTACCCTTATCTTTTATAGTTATATTGTGATGACAGTTTTGAATACAAGTTCATTGTTCTTCGCTTACTTCAGCTTACTTATCACAAACCATTATTTGGCCTTTATAATGCTCTTAACGTATCCATAAGCTAAGCTTGTTAAACTATTAGTACGAGTCAAGTTATGCGTAAAGTCGAGTTTTATTACGAGTCTTGGGAAGCACTCACTCTCTCCTCAATGTTACATATATTTTTCGAGCTTTCCTGGGGCGGAGTCTTTTTTCTTTTAAGTACGAAAGACAGATCAGAAATTGATTTACGTTGCGAGTCCATTGAAACGGGTTGCCAATAATTTTGTACAGCTGACAGGGCCCTACAACCTGTTCACTTTCGGTGCGGCTTTGTGTTGTATCGAAATACCAACAAAAACCCATAACAAGAAGCCGCATTTCATTGTAATTTCTTTTTGCGAGCGGCGAGCTGCGTTCTGCTCGTTTTGAAGGCAAGTGGAAAGTGGGTCAATCGAGAGATCTTTATAAATATATCGCTGCTCGGTTGCATATTTATCTGAAAGATATTTCAGTATCTGGGCGGAGAGGTGACAAACTGTTAATGGATCTAGCTTAAAAATGAAAGTTGTTTTTGTGATGGCTGAGGGAGAGAGAAACAGAAACGATGGCACTTGCCAGGGCTCGAGAGGTCTAATCAGGCTCAGTGCTCGGATCAATCATCGCACCTCAATCGCCTTTGATTGGACCTCTCGAGTTTTCCCACTTCAACAAAGTAACGAGCTGCCATTAGCCGGGCGCCACTTTAAATCGAATCGCATCAAAATAAAGCCCATAGAGATCGCCATTCAGCTGCTAACCACAAACAAATAAAATAATTGAACGCTAATCAGCGGGACAGCGAGGCTCTTTCTTTCCTTTCTTCGGATTAATTTGCTTTGCTGTGCAGCCAACCGTTTTTTCACTTCGATTGAGAATTAAATCAATTTCGTTTTTGAATGAGAGGAAAATTGTCTGACGAAAACCGAGGTGTCATGCCCGATTGGGCAGAGGAGACCGCAGGGTTGGACAGGAAATTCAGCTGGAAAAGATCGGTAATTTCATCGGTGATATAACGTACATTATGAAATCTGTTGGGGTACAGTTCCCCAATTGGTTTATGGGTCTAATAATAACAAGAATTATCATATGCAAGTAATTTTGAGTGCAAAAATCCTATTATAAGCTCTTTGGTTTCTCCAAATCATATCATGACCCACTTTGGCTGCCTGGTAGAACGTGGGTTGGGTAAAAGTTGAATTCAAATCTCTTCCGAGAATTGCGGATCGCCCGCTGTCGAACTCATAGGGGTTCAAGGCATCTTCCGCTTTCTATGGCTTCCCATTACCCCCGCGATCTTCTCAATTATTAAGCCATTAACATAGTTAGTGAACCGCTGTGACTTTGTTCCGCATTACATTATGGAAACGATCGCCAGAAATTAGCTTGTTAAAAACAACAAATAAAAAAGATATTACCGGGCAAAACGATGATCGTTAAAATGACGTCCGAGCTGGGAAAAGAAAGTAAAAGGGCTCGGCGACATAATTCATCGCTGCTGCTGGTTATTGACAGGCCGCCGGATGGCCTCACTTCTTCCAGGTCATTAAAAGTCGCTTGGATTGGCCACATATCGGGGGATGCAGAAAAGCAAATGGGTTTTGTCATGGCTCTCCGTTGCCTAATTGCAAGTTGCACGTTGCACATTGCATGCTGCCGCTACTTGACGAATGCCGCACTTAGTGAAGGTATGTGCAGTAAATATATCAGGGAGATTTTCACCCGCCGACGCCGTACCCAGCACCAAGTGCAGCAAGTGTCAACTTCCGCGTTACTCATACGCCGTGTGGTGCGGCAGCGGGACCAGCAACGGGTTCCTCAGCTGCATCTTCTTTCTCGCCATAACTCAGGGCAAATATGGCCAAAAAGTCAAACGATCCTCGGATCGCTAACGTAATGCAATAGCCAAGCCCAACGCCGCCGCGGTTCAAACTGGGCAACCAGTTATGACCCGCCGCCGCAGCCGCCGTTGCACTTTCGTTTTCGCCATTGCATTTGTATTGTGGCTTTGGGCCTTTGTGTCTGGGCGGAAAGTTTATTGCGCGAAAATGAAGAAGCGTTTGTTGCTGCCACACAGTTCCAAAACAAGATTTGAAACAAGCCACTGCTGCTGCAGCAATGGCATCTGCAATTGGCGGACGGGTCGGGATGGGTCTGGTCTGGCCTGGTCTGGCCTGGTCTGCCTGGTCTGGGGATGTTGCAAGCCGCTAAAAGAGTTGCATAACCTGTGTGTGTTTTCCTTTTGCCTGCCGAGGTGGGAGTTGAAACTCTCAGCCGCCCGCCATGCCTAACAGCAGTAAAAACTAAAAACTTGTCCATCGATTTGCGTTTCATTTCAGCCTGGAGGTGAAGAAAATGCGCAGCGAAATTATTTAATGACATTTTTGCGGTTTTTGGCAATGTGTAATGGAAAAGTGGTGGATAACCATCTTGCCATTACCCGGTTTTCCATGCAACAAATCCATGGGGTTGGGCCATCAAAGGTTAGGGGTTGTGGGAAAATTTAATTCAAATGAAAGCATTGCAAAAATTGAAGTTTAAATTCCATGTTAAAAGATTTGCTATGGCAATTAATGTAAGAAGGACAGAGGTAGTTGGATATAGAAAGGAAATGCATTCAATTGTCAGATTTAAAGGATCTTAGAAAAAGTGCTTAAAGGCGAAAGCAATGTTATAAAAAATTGCTGAAACCAAAACTACTTTGAAGGAACTCAACTATTTCCATCTCAAGAATAACAATGTGACTTAGGATCTTTTTCAAAGCTCCATGTATCCACTCACTGC